GGAGATGAAAGGTACAACATAGGCAATATAGTCAATAATACTGTACTAACTTTGTATGGTGACAGATGACAACTGTACTTATGGTGAGCTTTTCATAGTGTAGAGAGTTGTTGAATCACCCTGGTGAATCACAACTGAAACTAATAAATGCCAACTATACTTTAACTTTAAGAAAGCAAAACGAATGATTGAATGAATGAATGCATTTTGCCCTCTCCCCACCGAAACAAATTTGGAACCCAGAGGAGCTAACAATACAGTGAATCGACTACCACTCAAGGGTTCTTCTGCTTGGACCTCACCAGGGCTCATGAGATGCCTCTGAGCAAAACAAGAGTCCTGAGAGAGAGTCAGCCTGGGGGACAGGAATAGGAGCTGTTGCTGGGAAGGCACAAAGCCCACCTGAATCCATCCACCCCTCGGGAACAAAAGCTCTACTATGCTACCGGGAAGGCAGGAAATATTGGCATCTGCATGGCAATGGTGAAGGCCAATGCAGCTGGGGGAAAGAACAGTAAAACATCTTCTCAGGGTGCAAGAGTATGAATTAAAAGCCATTTAAAAGTTGAGAGAGGAAAAATCACTAAGAAGCTGCACCCCTAAGACTCACAGACGCAGTGCTTGCTTCAGACTGAGGTTAAATCAGATCAACAGAGAATTTCCTCTCCCCCTGCACCCTATCAAGAGGCCAACCAATGCTGACTAATAAGTAACAATCATCTACTTTGGGGAGAGAGACCAGAGAAAGGAGACACAGTACCAGGTAAGAATCTGACACTGAGCGTGTCACAACACTGACAAAAATTCTTTGGTACCACAGTTTCCACCCCAAATACAAGTTAAACTAGAGAAATTTGAAAACTATGGTACACTGAAGGCAAGCATAGTAATAATACGACCCAAACTCAGTTCAATTCCTGACTAGATTAACACAAACCACACACGAACGTCCTGTCAGAAGCACATGTATGGCCCATTTCCAGGCATAAAACTCTTTACATCAGGGTCTACTGTCTTACACAACAACGTGGATGAAGCTCAAATGCTTTCTGCTAAGTGAAAGAAATGCTTTCTGCTAACAGACTAGATGTCGTATAACTCCATTTGCATCGTGTCTAGAAAAGGCAAAACTATAGAGAATGAGAAGAAATCAGTAGTTGCCAGGACCTGGAGTTTGGGGAGGAGATATGGGTTAATTTGTCCTATATCTTGACTGCATTGTTGTTTTCACAACTGTATATATTTGTCAAAACTTGTAAGATTGCACACCAAAAGTGCAGATTTCACTGTTTGAAAACTATACTCTAAAAAAATAAATGGAAGTAATCATAAGACACATCACAGACTTACGAAAAGACTTTTGTTTTTTAAAAATAGAAATATTACAGTAAATGTACGTATAATTTTGAGATATATCTATTTCAAAATGTCAGCATGTGAGGAATGAAAGGTAATTCTTAGAAAAGAGGATTTATGAGGTGGTATCCTTTTTGGAGAATCGCAAAGTGCGGTTAGCATGTTAGTGACTTTGTACAAAGAAAACCTAGAGAATCTTTTGGCGTGTGTATACTTTCCTTAATATAATTTTTATGTTAATTTATTTTTTGAGAGAGAGATAGAATATGAGTGGGGAGGGGCAGAGAGAGAGGGAGTCACAGAATCTGAAGCAGGCTCCAGGCTCTGAGCTGTCAGCACAGAGCCCGATGCGGGGCTCGAACCTACAAACCATGAGATCGTGACCTGAGCCTGACACAGGGTTTGAACTCACAAACGGTGAGATCATGACCCGAGCCGAAGTGGACATTTAACCAACTGAGCCACCCAGGTACCCTGGCATGCGTACACTTTTAAAGGCAATACCTTGCAAGGAACACACGCTGAAAAAAGGTGATCTACCAGTTTTGAAACTTCGAAGAATTTACTGCTGTATACTGACTAAGATTTTCAAATAAGCCACTTTAGATAAATGCAACTTATTATATAAATTGTCAGTGAAGAAAGCAATATAGGTTCCTCTCTTGATGAATGCGTCTTTGGGTTGAAGGAATTGACCAGTAGAAATGTATTCTCATTGTTAATACTATGACAGCTATGTGACAATGACCCCTTGTCCCGCAGACCTGTAGCTGTATCTCAGGAAGTTGTGGTAATGAAAGCCCCAGTTGGAAATGACCAACAGTCAACACCAAGCAGGGCTGGCTAAATAAAGTGCAGGGTCCACTGTGAAGAATGAAACTGTGGGAGTGTTCTTCCACAAGCAGGAAAGAAAAAAGTGTCCTCAAAAGTACTGAAAGAGAAAACTCTACCCTTTTCCACAGTCTCTCTTTCTCACTTTGTTCAGTGTTTTTTGTTTGCTATTTAACGTCCTTTCCCTCCTGGTGAGTGCAGATCCTCACACATGTCTCTGAACTGTGACTCCAGACTCCACATAGGCATGTTCACCCAACAAGGGAATTGGGTTCTCTTTTCCATGTCTGGCCACCCCATCCCCAGAGGCTGGGAAACCTCGGACGGACTGCAACACAGAAAACCTTGGTCTGTGGTTTGGGAATGGGCAAGAGTTACCAGCCACGTGCCATGGTTCTGGTAACCATGGATGGAGATGGCCACTCCCATGCCCACTAGGGAGAGGTCCCACCTCACAGTGCATAGACTCCTGTAATGTGAAACACACAGACTCCCTGCTTCACTCATGGGGCTTCTCGTTCACTGAGTCTTGACTGGGGCTCAGAAATCTGCATGTTTGAGAAGCTTTGCAAATGATTTTGATGTGCAGCCACATCTGGGAGTAAGACATTACGCTTGTGAATTTGAGGAGGAGAGGTTGGTACAAGAGTGAGTTTGGAGAAGGTCTGACTACATTAAGTTGGCATCTGAGGTGAGAGTATTTTCTGAATATTTATTTGGGAGCAGAATTCAGCTGAATTCAGCCATTTAAAAAATGTGAAAAACTTCACACTTTACGTCCTGTAAAAGACAAAGAATTGGAAAGAGGGAGTAAGAGAATATTTTGAATTTGTTGTCAGAGAAGTACCTTAAAGGTGAAGTCCCATAAAAGCTCCTTAGAAGCAAAGTAATCTCATAAGAAGAGAAAAATAATAACAAACATGTAACACGGAAGAAGCAGATGGGTTTGTTCACTTGAACTGTATAAAAGCAAGTATTTCAGCATCATTATCTGTAGATAATTAAACAGTTTTATAATGTAAAAAGGGATAATACTTTGAAATGTCCAAATGTTTTTGACAGAGGAAACAATTTCTTAAGCTTAAGATAATAAAATTGCGATAATCTATTAATGGCCAAGTAACTTGTACACACAGATAAGTAGTGTAATTTGTGTTTTTCCAACCTCTACTTCAATTCTTCATTCATACATCTCACAGGAACATCTATCCGAGCAAAATATGATCTTGCTACTATTTTACTATAAATATGGCACTGGCTGCCTAGGGCATTCAACAAAATTGTCAGTGGTTTAGCGTGCCATAGAAGGACTTTAGAATCTGACTCTTTCATTTCCCACTGTTTCCTCCACCATCAGTTTATAGCTTCTGGGCTCTCTGGACTGCTTTCTTTTGTATAAGTTGCTTTGTGCCTTCACCACTAGATTAATTTTTATTCTCTGAGGCTGTGCTTTACTGTTACTTCTTTGGAAGAGTCTTCTCTGGCCTGTTGTAGATTTCGCTAGACTCTCTTTTAGAAGAGAAGTGGGGGAGAGGGAGAAAGGACACCTTTAGTGGCATAGGAAAAAGAACCCAGGACAGGTGTCTGGAATGCTCCTGAGGATCCTGGGTTTGCAACTGTTTTGTCTTTGATCTTAAAAATGCCACTTCATCTTCTCTCTTTTGGTTACATCATTGATTAAATGAGAAAGATGGACCAGATGGCCTGTAAATTACTTTCTAATTCTTATGACTGTTTGCTTCTATGGAGTCAAGAGTGAGGAGGGGAAAAATGTGAAACTGAAGACAACATGGAATAGGGTAGCAAAGCAGAGTTTCACACTTTGAACTTTCTTAAGAGACTGGGGATTGAGAAGAGAAAAGGTAAAAGTATGTACAAGTAGTGAGGCTATGTTGAAAAAAGCAGAAGCTCTCCAACAAGAGTAATCCTGCCTTCTCTCATCACAAGATATTTGTGATTCGAGGAAGAGAGAGGATGAAATGGCGGCACATACCAACCGGTCTTGAAAGTGAAGGGTAGTGGAGACAGGAAAAAATCAGAGATGACTTGAACAGCTGCAATTATTCATGCATCAAATACTCACTGAGCATCTACCAAACAGAATGTTTTATTCCAGGCTGTGGGGGCCACAACAGTGAAGAGAGCAGGCAAGTCAACCTCGGACCCTTCCCTTTGGGATCATCATTAAGATTATCCAACAGTAGTACTGGTTTTACAGCATGAATTTCTGGAAGGCCCAAATGGCTGAGATTATAATTTGCCTCAACAATGCTCAAAAGCTGGCTATTGGGGAAGAAGAGGCCAGTCGTTTTTCTTAAGGGATTTGGTGAAGGAATGGTCAGTTCAGAGATGAGGCATTTTCAGATGGTTGTCAGATTTATTTAAAATAAGACCAAGTGAGATGGGATGAGCCTTGGCACTGCTGAGCCAAGATGAGGGGAAGTAGGTTAGCTCTGAGCCCAGGACGATTCCTGGAGGTTTATTCTGGGTAAAGCGTTGGTCTTCTTGAACCTCAGAAGATAGGGGAACCACATCCTAGTCTCACCCACCCACCCTCGTGTTAGCAGCCATGTAAGCCCCACCCTCCCCCTCAAACACTTGGGCCACTTGACTATGTTTTGCCCCCACCTCCTAGTGATCCAGATACTGCCATTAGCACCATCCGCTCTCCTCGGGGAGGCAAGCATTTGATGCCTGAGGTCCTAGGCAGTTGAGGTCCCTGATAAGTGATGTGTGAGTCCTGTGTGTCATAGGAAGCTCTCAACCTCCATCTGGTGACCCTGGCCACAAGTAGTAGGTTTTTCTTCGCCCAGAGCTTACCCCTCAGGTCCCCCTCGCCAACTGGAATGCCCTCTGACATGCCCCGGATGCTGTTGCTCATCTTTATCATGGTCCATCCAGGATCCTGTGCTCTCCGGGTGTTCCAGACCCCTGAGATTCATATCCAGGAGGGCACCGCTGCTTTCTTGCCCTGCTCCTTCAATGCCAGCCGAGGGAGACTGGCCATTGGCTCTGTCACGTGGTACCGGGACAAGGTGGCCCCAGGGAAGGAAGTGAGGAACGAGACCCCAGAATTCAAGGGCCGCCTGGCTCCTCTTGCCTCTTCCTGTTTCCTCTGTGACCACCAGGCTGAGCTGCACATCTGGGATACCCGAGACTGTGACACTGGAGTCTACGTGTGCAGGGTGGAGGTGCTGGGTCTTGGTGCTGGAACAGGGAATGGGACTCTGCTGGTGGTAGAGAAAGGACCTCATTGGCTAGGTGCCAGCACAGTCCTCCTCCTTCGGGCTGCATTCTATGCCTTCAGCTTTATCTCTGTGGCCATGGGCAGCACCATCTATTACCAAGGCAAATGCCACTGTCACCTGGGAACATGCTGCCACTCCTCAGATGGCCTCTGATGAGTATTCCTGACCCCAGCCATCCCAACTCTCTTCAGGAGACCCCAGTAAATCCTTTTCTGCCTCACCAAAAAGAAAAAAATAATAATAAATAAAATAAAATAGAGACCAAGTTACTTGGAAACACAAAGGGAGCCTAAATATAAGAAGTCAGAGACTGGGGTCAAGATGAGAGTGAAGAGTGGATATTTTCTAGTTATGATATTCAGTTACAAATGACTCAAATTTATGATTTTAAGCAAGCTAGGCATAACAAAAATAAATAATATGCAAGGCAAGAGGCCAGCATTCAAAAAGCAATGATATTACAGCTTAATGAAAATTATTAACTCCAGTTGTACACTTGATTACCCTTGAGCAGTTTCAATTGATTTGGGTAAGACTCAAATATGAGGAAATCTGAGATTTTATCCTGCATTTTTGGGCTCAATTTAGAGTCCTCACACAGACACTGAAGTGTGAGTCCAAGGGATTAGATAACACTGCAGGAGATATAGTTTTTGAGTTGTTGGTTTCTTTCTGTTTATAAAAATATTCTCGATGGTGATGAGAAAAACAAAGAAAAATTAACTTGGAAATATAATAGAAATGTGCTAACTTAAAAAAATAATAGATGAAGAAGAAATAGTTTTAAACATTTAATCTCTTGAATGTCCATTATTAAGCCCTTGGAATTTTTTATATGATCTGAAGATAAATAAGTACAGCGGAGCTCCCAGGACTTATCAGTGCATTTAAAAGCGTGAATTGACAATCTGAGTTAATTAGTTGTCGCATTTAATCCTGAGAGATGGATATTGTTAGGTTCCCCCAACCAATCACGATTCAGTCAGAGAAAAAGAAAGTGAAAGAGAAAGAACACTTGATCAGTTTTGCAATGGAAATTACTTTTAGGGAAGCACAATTAAACTGAAATACAGGAAAAATCCATTCCAAGACATGTTCTTTTCACTTACAAGGATGGATTTGGTATATATTTTTGGTTCTATAAATTCTTATGGAAAGCAATTTTCAGTCTTCCAATTGTTGTTGTTGAAAGTGTTACTGGATATCAAGCTGAAGCATCAATGACTTTATTAAAACTAGACCAAAGGCTGTTGTAAGAGGAAGTCATTTGATTATTCCTCCTGAAATCATGGCAGATTTTAATGGATACAGGGCAGCATTATGGACAGGATATCCCACACATGAATATAAGTATTTGCTTTTGAGAGAGCTGGAAAATTGAGGCAGTATCTAATTAGTCATGACAGGGGTGACTGATACATATGGTTTGGCATCCAAGCCAAGCAGAGGCTGCACTAAACACTTGAACTGGTGCACAGAATCACTTAATGGCAGTGAATCCTGTTGGAACAAAAGCTGTGCTGCTGAAAACTGAAATTGTTTTGAGTTGCATGCAAGAAAGTTTCTTGAAGATATTTTGCTGGTAAATTCCGTTTTATTCTTGAGGTTCTTAAGGGGAAAAATAAAATACCTAGAAAAAACCTGTGTCTGTGTTTACATGCAATGCCTATTAATTGATACCTCTTCTTGGCTCAGTTGTCACGAATTTATTTTGATGATGTGATATTTAAGAAACTCCCCCCCCCCCCCCCCCCGACCATGCTCTGTATCAGGGCCCCAGGATGATGAAACACTGTGTTGTTGTGCAGCTACGGATTAATTCTTGGAGAGATTTTTCTGCTTCACTACCTCTTTTGTTGGTGCCAAAAATAATTGCTGATTTTGCCAAGTTGTGTCTTTATCACCTGTCAAAGATCTCAGTGCACTGTCATGTGGCATCTAAGGCAAACATGCATTTATCACTACCTTTACTTTTCTCACCACACCGTGCTCATGAAGCTTATTTCACTGGCTTTGCCTTTGTCGTCTGTTGTAGGAGATGAGCTTTAAGTCCATGTGATGTTTCTATGTTGCTCTCATTTGCTTCTTTAAATGTGAATTTTTAAAGCCACCTAAGAGTTGGAAACCAGAAAAGCAGTCTATTTTGACTGCCACTTTGCCATCTTTTGCTTTTCAAGCGCATCAAACTACAACCAAAGCAAAGAAAAAAAGATGAGAGAAAGTGAATTCTGGACAAGATCCAGAGCGTTTTCTGCCCAAGGCTCCAAGAACAGTGTTGGACACTCCTGTGGTTCATATCCTGGAAGTACTGATTCAGTGCAACTGGTAAATATTAAGTGTATGCTTTTGTGGATTAAATATTAGCTCTTGTTCCAACACTACTTAATAATCATTTGGATTGGCTTGTTTGGGAAAACATCTAAATAAAACACAGCACTCTATGCAAAGAAAGAAACCTCAGAATCAGTAGTGCTTTTCCTTTCGAGGGTTAGATTTTAAAGGGCTTTATTTAAATTTATATTTGCAAATGTAATGAAAGTATAAATTAGTTTGTACTATCATTTTGTGGAAATACATCAGCTTTTTCCAATTATTTTCTGTATCCACACCATTACAAAGTATAATATATGAAATGGCATCCCTGGCTTTGTAGTATTCTGGGATTCGAACATAAGAATTCTGAAGTAAAAATCACTTATTTACATTAAATGATGGTAATATGTGTAAGTCACTTTGATTATACAATCCAAAGAGGGATAGAAATAAATAATATACTTACTGAAGCTTCTGCTATTTTTTCAGGTCATTAATTTTTAATTATCTAGGATGTTCAGTCAGTATAAAGGAATTTAAAATGTATTTATATCTGGGTAATTGCTAATATCAAAAGTGCTCTTCTGCATTAAAATTCAGTAAGTGAGATGAGTCATATTCTCTTTTCCATTCTAAGACAGGGCATTTTTTCCCCACTATATACGATGAAAGAAAATACTAAAATTACTCTTTTGCTTCTGTTTACAAACACAGTAGATTGATACAGTTGATTTTTATGAAGAGTAGATCTCGAGTATTGCAATCAATAACTGAAATGACTAAGCAATCACTCAGAAGGGAGTTTTGGATGAGGAATGACAAAGCACAATCGGTACCAAAGCTTACCCGATTTTGATGAATACATTTTGAGGGTTTGCTCTATTCCCCTCACAGAGCACGGACAGAAGTGGAGGATTTGCACAAGTCCTATGAAGAGGACCATTAGAGAAGATGCCTGAGCGGAAGGGTTTCCCCTTGGAGGTGCCAAAGGCCACCACACACACCCAGTGCATTTGCTGCAGCTATTGAGATAGAATCATTGACAGTGAACTATAGAAAATATAAACAAATAGTAGTTTTAAAAAACAAAAGGCTATATATGTGTACATATACATGTATGTGCATATGCATGTTTACACATACCTGTGCATGCCCACGTACTACACAGATGTACAATTTTGTGAGTTATTCACTGCGATGCGTAGTAATGATTGATTTCTTTGTTTGAGTTGGAACTATTTGAAACTTCTCATTTTGTGAATTTGTGGTGGCTTCCCACTTGGAAAAGAGGAACAGGAGATAAAGAAGCCCAATTCTAGATTCTGATTTCTAGAAGGTGTTCTCCAAGGCTTCTAGCTCCACCGCCAGCATTGTTCTCTTTGTTCATCGCTGTCACCTTTGTCGACTGGAGAGCTTTTGCAGTCTCCTTTTTGCTCTTGGGCCCAAAGGTTGTTTTAAGCTTTGGACACTAAAATAGTTTTTGGTCCAGGTTTGTGGTTTTTTTTGAAATAAAACCCTTTCAAAACTAGGACACTTTGAAGTTATTTCCTGCCATCCAGCTTCATGTGCCAGTAACCACATCCAAGTTTTTTCTACACATAGTTCTCAAGTATGATTTCTTTCTTTTGTTTTCATCCTCATTTCTCTCTTTTGCTCTTCCCCTTTCATCGCCTCTTCCTTTTTCTTCTCCTTTTTAATGGAAGACGATTTAAGGCTATCAAAAAAAAAGTAGTCTTGGGTGAGCAGGTAACACCGATAAATGTGATCATCTGATCATTACTGCAAGATTCAGTACTTGAATCAATTGAGAAATATTAGTGGACCTTTGGCACTCAAATGATTTTTTTTTTAGGTTTTATCTAATACTTGACCTCTAACAATCTTCTTTTCCAAATTGTAAAGCCCTTGGTCTCATTATGAAAGCCAGTTAATCACTGTCCAGAGTTCATCTCTGTCTTCTAAAATGTTTTTGGAGGCAGCAAAGAGTAACCAATGAACACTCTGACCCATTCCAGACATTTCCTCTAAAGTAATTTGTCTAGTTGTCACATGGTCTTACTCCTAAGGTGTCTTGGGCCTCCATTGTATAAAGGTTTAACATGGCAGAGCAGGGGGCTCCAGTCATAAGGCCTACATATCTGTGTCCTCACCACCTACCACCAACTCATTAAGTCAATTTTACACATTTAGATTTTCTTGTACCAATTTGTTTTATGGTAGTTAATGCTACTTGGTAAATGTCAGCTTTGTTATTTCAGTGAACTGGTAAAATGGAAGTTAAATGCCATGCATGTAGCATTCAGTCGATAGCAGCAAAGGTGTGGGGGTTTGTTTCACACAGTCACTCAGTGACTCAGGCTCCTTCATCTCCTGGAGTCTCAGTGTTTTGCTGGATCCTCTGCATCTGGCTGACAAATGGGGAAGTAGGTAATGACAATGCATGGAGCTTTTCATGACCCAAGACTAGAAATGACACATAGTGAGAAATGATTGCCCATTTCTGTTGGCCAAAATGCAGGCCACATCTCACTGAAAGGAAGTCTATGTATCCAGGGGAAGAGAAATGAATGGATGGTCTAAGAAGTTAGTGTCTCCTGGAAGTTAAGAATTAAGCTTCATGTTACTTTATTGGAGTTTGGATTAACCGAAAAACTTCTAAGTCATAGATTTGTGAAAAATTATTTTTTCTTAAAAAGGCAAAGTATTTCCTTGTCTATACATTCATTTTTCACCATAACAATTTCTTAATCACTTAAAACAAAGAGGTCAACAAATTACCCACCAGGGTTTGACTGCTTATTTTTGTAAATAAAGTTTCATTAGATCAGACCCATTCCCTTTTGTTTACATATTGT